GGGGGGGGGGTATTATACATTCATTCCTCCCCTTGGATTTAATGAAAAGATTAAAATGTAGAAAAATGGTAATATAGCAGCCGTTTACACTAAACTGTTTGGCTGTTGTAATGTAGATGCAGTGTGCTTTCTGTGAGGTAGGAAGTAAGTTTTTAGTTCTTATTCAGGAGAATCCCATGCTTAAGAGGGTTAATGATTGCTTTCAGGATTTTGAATTCGTCGCTTACACGTCAGAGAGGGGCAACAGTTACGTAAGCGATGGAGTTCTGCACATCGCTCCAACTCTCGTGTCAGAAACACGTGATGAAGATTTCATCACGCACGGAAAGCTCGACTTGCCTCGGTAAGCGAACAGATGTCTCTGCTGCCATAGTTACGGCACTCATTCTGTAAGTCTGCTTAGTCGGAGACCATTTTTAGAATACAGCCCAATTTTTCAGCCCAATGTCATGTCTGTGTGTTATTCGTGGCATATGAACGGACCACGCAGGAAATACCGCCTCCAACAATCCTTCATTGTTGCTAGTTTGCTGTTGCGGTTCCCACGTGATCGCTACTCATTCGATTGGCGCGCTGACTGCTGCCTAGCAACGGCTGTTGTCTCCTTGTATGTTTCTTGGTATTTGCATAGCAACGGGTCTATACGCTACAATATTAAAAGGGCATCTGAAATAAATACAATTCGAAGTTGTGAACTACATCGAATTGGATCAGTAGAGGGCCCAGCGGTGCGCTATTTTCGACAATGTGCAACTATCATGTCCCACGAAATTCAGGAAGTTGATTGATTGGCTGAGAAACTATAAACTTTCAATAAATACATTGCTTCACGTAGTTAGTTGGTTAACTGGTTCAACAGTTTACTTGTCAGTTAACGAAAAATATTTACTGACATATAAACCTTCGTTCTGCAATTCATATCATAACGTTCCTGTAACGAAAGTGCTGTCTTCTGAGATGTGACGCTGTGTAGTCCGGCACAAGTTCGCAGGCGTTTCAGATTAACATGCCGTCTCCACCTACAGGGTCAAAGAGTAAGGCTAGAAAGCAACAAGAAAAAAAGGAAGCTGACCTTTGGCTGCTTACTTGACCTACTCTTGACCCTGAAGATGGAGGTGATATGTTTCTCCGAAACTTGTGAAGTTGTACCACACCACTGGATGCCACATCGCAGAAGACATAACTCATAGCCACGACTGAAAAAGATATCTCAAATTCTATATATTAATGCTTAGTTTGTAACTGTTTGAATGTGAGTCTACTTGGAAGAGAGGGGGATAATACAGGGTGGGGCGCAGAAACTTCAGAATATATCCTTCGAGACACGGCGCTGTGTAGCGTGCTAAAAGTTTACAGACGTTTCGGAAGAACTTACTGCCTCCATCTTCCTGGTTGAAGAGTAAGCCAAGTAAACAGAATGTAGAGTGTTCTGCTTGCTTGACGTACTCTTCGACCTTGAAAATGAGGCATTTCGTTCCTCCGAAACGTCGGTAAATGTGTACCAGACTACACGGCATCAGTAATCTTCATAGTCACTGTCGCGAGAACCTCCAATCTCAGACAAGATTATGTTGATCAGAGTGAATTGACGTGACAGGTGTACCGGCATCGCAGGCTCTGTGGAGTGCTCCAAGCAAGCCCAGGGCTGGGACATCCTCCCACCTGTGTTCTCCGCCCGAGTTCGGACACGTCAGCATTTCAGCTTCTGCTACGGCCAAGTGGAAGTCAGGGCGAAGCTCCCAGCAGGCGACTGGCTATTCCCAGGTACTGAATATAAGTTGGACATGCCGTGTGTGTGTGAGATAAAGGGTCAGACCACCAGCCAATTAATACTGAACATTAACTACAAATAACTACGACAGTGTCAATGAGTTACACACTCCAAAGATCGCTGCAAGCACAACACACACAAGAGTCTTCTCAGTTTGCTGTCTTCAGCAGATGTTGCCTGATGACGGATTTCAACAATGTCCTCTACTTCCGTGCTCACACTTTTACGTAGGGTCGAGAATTTTCTCCACGTCGTCCAGACCGACTCTGGTGCGCACCCAGTATCCTATCCAGTGGGTAACAACGGCCGGGGCGTAAAGCTGACCACTCTCTCCAACTAACGCCGAGGTCAAGAAAATGTGGATCTATACATCCAGTCCCCCGTACATCTTCACGACGAAGTGCGTAATTAGCTAAGGACATAGACAACTTTACCTTAATTTACAAATATTCAGAAACGTTTAAAATCAATAACTAGGTCTATGTCGGACAAATAACAAATACGAACAAAGATCACACGCAAAGCGGCCTCCGTAGTCTAGGGGTAATGTTCCCACCTCATGACCTCAGGTCGTGGAATTTTTAAGGGCGGAAAAATTCAGGGAACAAGTCCTCCGGGAGGGACTTTAAGCCGTGGGTCCCGTGTCGTAGATTTACGGCACGTAAAAGANAGTAGAAATTAAAGGGGGACGCACAATGGACCAATAACTGGTCTAAGTGCATGGGGAAACCCGCCCCCTCTAATAATAATAATAATAATAATAATAATAATAATAATAATAATAATAATCACACGCACACAGAAAAATGGAGTTTGTAAAGCGTTACCTTAAGAATGAAAAACTAAATTGAAATTTTCCACATGCTTGCTTAATTAAGCACAACACCGTGAAGACATATGGTGGAGGGGAGATGCAGTTCAACATATTGCTAAGAAGGCTGTGAGAGGTCAGCTTCATGCCCTGGTCTCTTTGCCATCGGCTCTTAACAGCAATCGGATGGAAGGCTGCATGGGACCCAGGACTTTACCTCTGCCTGAACTCAAACCCAAATAGGCCTTCATGGCGTGGTCCTTAATTATGCATAGGGACAACTCTATCTGTTACAGAACTATGGCTGGAGCCAAAAGACAACTGGTATGGGAGAGAGTATCTGTCTGGAAGGATACGGCTCGCAATGGCAAGAGGTAACAGGGAGCTGTTTCTGAACGACCAGAAGCAAAGTCACATTGGTGAGCGCCGCCTGGAAGCAGGCTGCACGTTGGGCATGGATCAGAAAGTACGCCATGAAATGAAGAATTGGGAAGGAAGATCTGGCTGGTGCGAAAATTTCCACGTGTACAGTCTGACCTGGACACCAGGTATGTGAGGGGTGGTGTTGGGGAGGGGGGGCAGATGGCGACCAGGAAATGTTTCAGGCTTTGTTCTGCTGTTAAGTGGGAATAAGGTTAGTCCAGTCGTACAAATGGGGAAGTGGGATTTCTTTCCTGGTGAGGGCAAAGATTTTTATTATCGCTGTGCATGGACAGGCTTTGGAACCCACTCAGCCCCCAGGGGGTTATATCCCTGGGATAAAGCAGCAGAAGCATGAAGCTGAGCACTCACTTCCATCTAGTGCCGAGGTTAAAATGCATTGAGCTATACACCCATTCACCCACATTCCTTCATGTTGTGGTGCTTATTCAATCACTGAGGTAACTTCATCTGACATGTTAGGTGGGTCCCTTGTCACCACGGCATGGCGCGTCCTCAGGTTGCGGATGTTAGGTGGGTCCCTTGTCACCACGGCATGGCGCGTCCTCAGGTTGCGGATGTTAGGTGGGTCCCTTGTCACCACGGCATGGCGCGTCCTGAGGTTGCGGATGTTAGGTGGGTCCCTTGTCACCACGGCATGGCGCGTCCTCAGGTTGCGGATGGAGGAGAAGCCCTCCAGGTATGGAGAGTAGCTGCGAATTTGGTGGAATGAGAATGTGCAGGGAAACCGAAATAGTCAGGAAAAAACTGCTTAGGTGCCACTTTGTTCACCACATATCCCACATGACTTGACCTGGGATCGAACCGCTCTGTTGGGAAGCCAACATCTAACTGACTGAGTCACCACTGTAAGGACCTCACATTCAGAGTACTACTGATGCGATAACACGCACCCAAAGTCGTTTTTTTTTTTGTGCTGTTTGTTTGCAGATGACATGACTTTCAAAGTGGATGGACAAACACTCGGTGTTCTGAGCCCTCCTCCAGGAGGATACAGGAATTTACCCACGTTCACAGGAAGCCACGATATCCCCTGGGGACAGGGTACTAAACTGGCACCCTTTGATAAAGAGGTAAATTGAACAAATGTGCATCCATTCAAATGCCTCCTTTTCAGCACGTAATCACGCTCTTCCATGGAACTATTCTCTGGTGACCTCTCTTACTCTTCCTTAAAGATGATGATCAAAATCTTATCTTGTCATTAGATTTTCACACCTGGAGTTCAATGCATACATTCAGCCTTTTGGAATTGGCCTTGTAGAATGTACATGTAATTCAGTGTTTCAGCAAACAACGCATTTGTTTGGGATGGGGTTGTTCTGGAAGCCACTGTGTAAATTTGGCATTGGGCAGTGAGTTGAGAGGGTTGGAGCCATGACTGCACAACCTGAAGAGCAGTGTACTTTCGGAAATGTGGTAAGGGCGCATGGTTGAATAACAGGGAAGAGGTGATGAAAAACGCTTCTGTCATCTCAGGGTTGCAAGAACATCTTTCGTCACCTCTCTTCATGACCACCAGGTCTCAAACAAAGAATCTTTCAATCACTTTTGATTGAAAAGCCACATGTCTGTCCTTCTGTGACAGTACCTGTCTCTTTGGTTTCTCAAATCACAGCTCCAGCTCCCACTACCAGGTCTATATAAGGGCTTCCTAAACCTGGTAAAGACATTACAAGTAACTCTGAAGATGATAATTACAGTATTTGTCAAAACTTTGGAAAACAAAAATTTTATATCGTTTATTTCCAAAAACTAAAGTCATACATTAGGATGTTACCTAGTTATTCTATTTTCTGTAATTAGAGTGCCTTATTGTTACGGTGGGGTGAGACTGAATCCATTGCTCCTGCAGCTGCAGTTAAGCCTATTGTAATAGCCCCAAATGACTGATGAGAGAATGGGGCATTGCTGGACTGAATGCCCAAAGAACTTGTAGCGAAACCTGCCCAATTGACACTCTATCACAAATTCCAAATGGACTCTCCTGGGATTGAACCTGGACCTCTGCATAGAGAAGCTGGCGACTGAATGCCTGAGCTATGGCATGACCTTACAAGGCCTTCCTCTGCCCCTTCTAATGTAATTTCTGTTTTAGAATAGTCAGTGGAAGAAACATCCTCTCGTCTCACAGTTATCACTTTTAAATCTAATGCCACCTCTCTCCTCCCTTCTTACTGTCTCAGAATACCTGATTGGAGTCTCTTTCTTTAGCAGTTAATGCTCTTCAAGGAGTTCTTGTTTCATCCCATTCTTTTTACATGGTTTACAATTATAATCTTCTCTCTCCAGATTTTGTAAACAAATTCTTTGTCCACTTACTCCGCTAAGAATTTCATTTCTAATTCGATTCTGTCTCCTTTTCACCTCAATACATCTTAAACTTTTCACACCCATCTCATTATTTTTGTATTTATTTTGTCAACTGCTTTGTATGACTGGGAAACTAGGTCTCTTTCACTGTGGGAAGAATACAAAGTAAGGGTGTATGAGTAATTCTAGGGCCGCACCATAGCTCAAAAGGTTAGTCACTGGCTTCCCACTGCGGCCCGGGTCTGGTCGAGTGGGATTCGTGGTGGACAAAGTGGCGCTGGGGTAGGTTTTCTCCGAGTCCTTCGTTTTCCCCTGCCAATCTACATTCAACCAAATTCTCCATCATCATAATCACCTGGGGCAGGTACAATAGGACAATCAGTGGCCGCCGTGCTGAGTGGGCCTAACTGGACTCCACCCCTCACTATGACTTCATATACTCTGGAAGAACGTTACCAACTAACTTGAAAGTTGAAGAGTTAGCCAAGCAAGAAGAACAACATGGCTTGTTTGTCCAGCTTACTCTTCAAACCTAAAGATGGAGGTGGTGCATTCCTAAGAAAAGAAGATACAAATTATACCAGACAATGTTATCACATCGAAGAAGATAGTACTGTTCAGTTTGATGCTAATTTCCTTTTACCTTCAGTTCTACCTCAGCCTTGGCCTTGGAGTTGGTGGGATTCAGGACTTTCCTGACAACTGTACTACTGGCTTGCAGCAAGGAGGCCTGCACCCTAAACCATGGAAGAACACTAGCCCCAAGGTAAGTTGTCTGCCCTCAGCTCATGAATAGCTTATATACCAAACTGTTTGTCTAAAACAGTAGTTCGTGGTATTCCTCATTGTTCCAGGAAAATTCCAGAACAGAACCTCAATTAGACCACAACCACTTCCATTAAACTCCCTTCCTGTTCATTATTCCCCAATCATCCTGACCTTCATCATTATATTGTCACATGATTAATGACTAGAGACAGGTTTTGAATTGATGACTGGATTTATTTGACTCTTTGATACTGCACGTAACTACATTTTACACTTCGCTGCCATATACACACTAGTGTCCACAGTCGTGTCTTCACTGCTGTTGCTCGGTAGCAGCTTCCAATGGCGGATGTTCTCCTTCCTCTGGGTTCTCAAACTTTCCACGGCCTCAGCTACCAGCTTCTCATAGCAACAGCTCAGAACGACTACCACAGTGGTCTCTAACTCACTCACTCATTCACTAACTCCACTCCACTGCACTCACTGACTGACTAACTCCTCGCTAACTGTCCTGCCTATAAGAGTAATATCTGGGCATAGATTGCGTAGAAAACACCGTTCTTCCAGTGCGGTGCAACTGTTTCTTAACAGTGGCATTAACATTTCTGCGTGCGCAGCCATCGGCACAGAACGCACAGAAAATATAATTCCTCTGTTTCTATTTATGGGCCATTACTTAGCAACGGTTGTTGTATAGTTGGTTACTTCGTGGTCGTTGTCTAGCAACAGGTCTACATGCCACATTATATTGTTTGAGATACTGATGTCATTAAATAATACACAAAAAAAAAATACCATAAAATATTTTATAATCGTTATGAATTAAGAAGTTTTCAATATGTTCCCCTGTAACTTCATCCCGCTTAAATCCAAATAACTCCTTCATCATTAATTTTCAAATGCCTTCATAATTGTTCTGCTTTCTTACTGACACCATATGCAACGTATTTTCAAGATGCTTGGGATTACCGACTTCGTGGTCTTTGCCCATAATCTAATATGTAAAGAGAACATGACACCCAAAAACGGGATGCTTCCATCCTCACTTGGAAAGGTGGGGAGGCATCTGTTCAGTTCTGTCTGTTAGAAGGAGCTAGTCTCAATCTGCGATCTTTCAAATGGATGCAACTCAATTTGAGCTTCTGCATGATTTCGCCCAGTTTCCACAACTTTCTTTCAGAATACTAGATGAGGGACAAGTCCAGAAACTCAGCTATTCCAAGTGCAATACACCATTTTCAGAACCATTTAGAACTGAATATTGTTGTCAAGTCTCAAGAATGAGTTTCACTAACAACTTCTTCTGGGCGTGGGAAACATTGACAAGTTTATAATTTATAGGGGGCCTCATATAAGTTCACTGAAAATAAATTGCGAAATTCAAATAATTATCTCACGGGTAGCTCTTCCTCATGTGCTCCAGCATCAAGATATTTTCCACAAGATATAACAGGTCATTATTTTGTAAAGTATCACTTACTTACACCTGAATCCCTCAATTAATGCAACTACTGAACAGAAAGTGTTACAGGATGCAGACAATAAAGATAATCCACTTGTTACCGTTGCAACCTGTATCAGATATCCACACACTATAATTATATGTCTGCCCACAGGCTATGCTTCAGTTCTGGCGGGACAAGGAAAACTGGAGACAAAGCTGGTCAAGTGGCAACTCAGACCTCCAAGTGGACTACGTCAAAGTGTGGGCTCTGTAGGGCAGTCAGGAGAATGTTACAGTGAACAAGGTGACACAAAACTCTGTCAGTACTGTGGTGACTTGCCATGAACTGGCTGGGCTGAAGCATCAGAAGTTCATTCAGCGTGAACTGAGAAGAACAACTCCCTTACACCACACGTAATTCAGTTCAATCTTGTATTATTCTTGTGCTGAGTCAACAGCTGTAAGGTGAACAAAACAACGATAACAACGACAACAATAGCAGTAACAATTATTATAATTATTGTTATTCAGTTCTTCATTATTTGTATGCCAAGTCAACAGCTAAAATGCCAATTCTTGACACAGCACAATGTAGAGATTGATATTTGCACTAAAATAATCAAAAGTATATGTGTTGACTAGTAAAATAAATAAATAAATATCAAGTCAAGGACTCTGATCCCTTTTCTGGCCAAAAAATCGTGCACCATCTTCGATTTGTGGGGTGGGGCATTATCATGGAGGAGCCAACCAAATTCTCCATCTCGATATTCAGGTCAAATTCGAAGAATTCTCGACCACAAACGGTTGAGGACTCCGAGATAATAACCAAAATTCATTGTTTGACCAACCAAAATTCATTGTTTGACCTTCTGGCAGAAATTCCTTCTGAATGATTCCTCTGGAATCTAAGAAAACGGTTAGCAGTGTCTTTACTACCCTTTGGCATGCGCACTTTCTTTTGTTTCGGCTTCTTTGGGCTCAACCACGTTGTACTCTGCCGCTTTGTGAGAGCCTCATATTCAAAACACCACATTCTCAACCGACGTCTTAATGTAACATGCTGTCCTTGGACATGTTCTTGCTTACTGGTGTTCATTACTGGTGTAGCAATAAAACCCTGGGCTTGTATTCTCTGTCAGAAAATCATTTTATGCTATATAGTCCAGGCACAAACAACTCATAATAAAAACCTAGCATCTGTTTGACGCTGCCTCTATATCTGTCTCTCTCTCTAACATTAAAGAGACATGACAAGACATAAATGTAACCACATGACATTTGCAATATGGACGTTTATGAATCCTTGACCTTAGGATTACCAACTACACCCCATCATTGTTAACAGTTCTCTTTGATGATGTAATAATCATAATCAAGCAATGAGAGAGAATGACCTTGGCCAACAAGCTGAACCTCACCTCCCACTCTGGGGCTGGGGGCTTCACCAAAGCCTTGGATGGGGCTTCCTTCCTCATGAGTCTGTAAGAAACAAGTGAGAGTTTGATGACAGAACAAGAAGAATGTGCAAGGGCATTATTGTGGATGGCATTTTATGGAGTTAGCATGAAACTATTATCCTACTTTCTCTTTGCCAAGCATTTCAATTTCCTTTAATGGTTTTTCTGTTATCCCTCATTAACATGTTCTCAAAAGTAGTGATAACTTTTATGGGTTTACACAGGACCAAACCCAGCTTTCACCAATGTGAACCTTTTTGAGAGACTAACATTCAGCTATTTAGTTAGGAAATTCCATGTTTTCTGTGGACACCTTGGACGGGGGATCAGTCCATCGCAAGGCCGCTACCTACACACACACAGGACAACCAAAACACAGACATCAATGGTTTGAGTGGGGTTCGAACCCACGATTCCAGCGTTCAAGAGAGTGAAGACAGTTCATGCCTCAGACCGCGCGGCCACTGTGACCGGTCGTTGTCCCAGCTACATGCGGAAGATGCCTCTTCTTGCAGGCGAACACAGCGCTGCATAGTCAATTTGATGAACAGACACTTACTGCCCTTGTATAGACCTGTACACGTTACACCACATGCATCTCTGCGTGCCGTGACTGTCATGTAGCTTCTAAACAGATCAAAGCAACTCTGAATAGGGAGCACGGTCCTTTCCGATTGCAGTGACGGGGCGTAACCAGTAAATGTAAAGTTGTCCCTGAGCTTAATTAATTAAGTACTACGCCATGAAGTCATGTGGGGGAGTGGAGGTACAGTTCCACCATTCTTGACCTCAGCAGTAGGTAGAGATGAGTGGTCAGCTTCATGGCCCGACCGCCTTGCTCCTGAGGAAATCGCCCCCTATGCCCATTGACTAGGAGGCCAGGCGACCTCCCAGGGCCGGTCTGGAAGCTAAGGAGAAGAGACAAATCTTACCCCTGCCGCGAATCGAACCCCAGCCTTTCACCCCGTCCCTATACCGTCTGAGATATCTTGACTCTTGGACACAGCATATAGCAAATGAAATGTCACTATTATTGTTATTATTAACTCGCTAAAGTAATACTTAGTTCCTATATGGTATCTTCCCACGCGCTGGAGGGCACCTGTGTTTCGTTTTCACAAGCGTCCGTCATCTTTGCGCGGACACACGCACCTAATAAACATCAGCGCCAAAATGCAGCTCGCGATTTGTGGCTTTCAGTGAAACATCTGGACGCAGACGTCGGTTACGAACTGCACAGTTTCACGTGACACGTACTCACCAAAGTCGCTTGTCAGAGGAATGAATATAAAGAAGATGCAAGTGGACACAATGCGGCTTTCGCCATGCCTCTTCTTCGGCTGTTGATGGCGGTTCCATCTACTGCTACATAGGGTAATTGTAAGGGAAGTGCCGTGTGCCCCATCTTGCAAATTCCCAGCCTTGTCCACACACGTATAGTAGCCAAAGCCGTAAAATAGTTTATTATAAGGAGTGAGCAATTTCGTTATTTCAGCTTACTTCATTTTAAGAAACACCCGAGGGGAGAGGCACGAAAGTATAAAAGCTCCAGAGAGGACATTACAAAAACATACACGTGCCATGTAAGCTACATGACTATTGGTGGGTTTTCACTTTGCTTCGCTGTAGCTGCTGTAGTTCTGTACAATGTTCAGATCCATTAATTATTATTTCTTTATTTACCGATATAAAAAAATTAAGAGATTACATTCAGGTAATGCTTGCTACCATTCAGTCCAGAACCTTTTATCTTCTCGTCTATTATCGTAATTAGAATATACAGAACTATAATTTTGCCTGTGGTTCTGTATGGGCGTGAAACTTGGTCACTGACATTAAGGGAGGAACACAGACTGAGGGGTGCACGCGGTAGCGTGGAGGGCACCTGTGAAGATGATAATAAAACTTCAGGTTCCATAAAATGCTGGGAAGTTCTTGGGGGCTTCTCAAGAAGGGCTTAGCTGCATGTAGGTAGTTATACCAACAATTACAAAAAAAAAAAAAAGAAAGGATTTTAAAGTCACAGAAAGACTACGATCCGCGAAACTGAGGCAGGCGCTAGGTCAGCCCGGTTTCATTATTGCCTCTGCATTCCGACGTCAGGTCGAGTCGAATGGCTTTGTAAATTAGAAGGAAGTAACCTGTCAGCAGAATGACGTATTATACAGATAAAGCTTCACAGTTCAGCTGTTTCCCAGGAACTGCAATTTTTTGCAGTTTTTACAGGAATTAACGTTGCTTGTCGCCGGGCGTTCTATCGTCGTTTTGTTACCAGGTGACACAAAACTCAAATCCACCAGTTTTTGCTTTGCCTTTTAGAGAAGACGAAGTGTTGTTCTGGGCACCGCTGGAAGTGAGTATGAAAAGAGTAAGCTAACAAATTAATTTCAACGTGTTTTAAAGCTCCTTGTCTGATACAGCAATATTTGAACTGATTGGGAACGTAACATTTTGGTTCAGAAAATGATAAAGTGCACCCTGCTCAGGGACGGATAGGGTTCGTCACCCCGGGAATTCCACAAGACAGAAATAAAATACACAGATCTTATGTAAACATTTGCTTTCCTAAAATCACGAAAAGTTGGCTCGAATTTCCATTTCTTGTAACAAATAATTGTCATAACCTAATTCTTTGTTACTGAGAGAAACCTCCAATTTTGACCGTCCCTGGACCCCACAACTGAAAATTCGACCTTGAGTCTGCTAAGCACAACGAATTTCCGAATGTTCGTTGCCATGATTTAGCATTATTTAGCATAGCCTATCCTCAAACTCCACCTCGACAAAATAATTTATCAATTTGGACAATTAATTAACCCTTTAAAAACCGAATTTCTTCTAAATCATATAAAACAATTCAATTTGCATCTCACATGAGACATATCAATTCTCTGCTACGGGAAAAATTGCTGTTTATTGTGAGAACCAGAGTCAGAGTTAATTGAAGACAGGCGGTTTACCGCCAAACAGTTTGTCTTGGTGGCGACAAACCCCTTCAGACCCAAGATCAGATTTTCTTCTACTGAACACTTTCGGTTATAGTCCTTATGTAACATTTTGTCTAACGAGAGGATGGGTCTGTTGGTTACAATTACTGCTGGCCCTCGCCAGTGCAGTCGCTCTCGGGTCCAAGTCCAGCGGGACTCATGACCACATTTTATTGTCTCAGATTCGAGACTCCCCAACCTGGAGGGGAGTTCTTGTTCCCATATTTATATCCCTTAGGAACAGGGTTGTCCAGTCATACCTCCATTCTCGTCGCCTCCTACGACTCGCAGGGCTACGGTGGAGGCTTTCGAACCCGCATTCACACGGAGTTGTGGGAACCATACGAAACACAAATAATATATAAAGATTCAGTCCGTACCTCACAGGAAACACATTACGTCTCCGCTACAGAGCCCAACCGGTTAAAGCTGTTTAAGGAAACAGTCGCTGTTTATTGTGAGAACCATATGGAGCACACATCAGTACAGCCCGGGGAAAAGTCAGTTATCGAGAGCAGATTTTGAAAGCAGAAACAGAGAGTGCATATAGTTGCAACTGCTCATGCAAATGTTTAACGCAGAGTGGACGTACTGACCCTACACATGTACCGTTTTACGTTGCTTCACAACTGAACCGACTGTGTGGCTGTACAGTCCGGGTTCGACCTTTACTACAGGGACTTCGCCTTGCTTTGAAATGCAGATTGTCGGAGGGATATGAATCCATCAACTTGATGAACCAATTTAATTAGATTTTCATTAATTCATCAATGGATCTACAGCCTTACGCTGGGCTCTGCCCTTGTCTTCAGTTTCGTAATCTTTTTTTACACAGACGGTAGGACTCCTTGGACGAGTGATCAGCCCGTCGCAAGGCCGCTACCTAAACATAAGACAACACAAACACAGGATAAACGCACACACAGACATCCATGCCTTGAGTGAGACTGGAACCCACGATCCCAGCGTTCGAGCGAGCGAAGACAGTTCATGCCTTAGACCACGCGACCACCGCGATCGACAATTAGATATTCACTGAGGGAAAAATATTTCTTGTCATGGAACTCACCATCATAACAACGTTGCGTAAACGATCTATTTGCTGAACCTGTTCTATCAACAGAACTTACTTCGCATTTCCCTAAGATCCATTTTAATATTTTATCTGCAGCTAAGCAGAATTAAAAAAAAAGTTTTGAAAGGAAGAATACAATCTTCTGGATAATGCCCAATTCGCGAAGTTCTGAAATACCACCTTTAATGAAAATCCGTCCACGATTCTCGAACTGTTTTATATGAACGATTGGGCGGATATGATGGCCGCAGGTCGGTGGGTCGGTCAGGTAAATTGCTGCTTGCCCTCGCCAAAACAGCCATTCTTGGTTTCTAATCCAGCAGGACTGAAGATCACATTTTGCTGTGTCATGGCTGCCAGAGCACTGATACGAACGCACCCGAAAATATAATTTTCATGTCAGTTTCCTGTTTCCTACAGCACACACAGATATTAAGAAATTCACTCCGCAGTCTTACCAGTATGTATGGTAGCAAGGGCCATTAAAGCAATGCGCAAGTGTTGAGGTAGGTTAGTTGGATTCATACAGTCCAATTTTAATTACATGTAAGGTAATATTATCCCTGAGCTTAATTAATTAAGCACTGCGCCATGGAGACGTATGGGGGGGGGTGAAGGTATAACTCCATTGCGGCACTTGATGAAGCTTCACGTACCGGCCGCTTTAATCCCGGAGAAGGAGTCCCCATTATCCATTTTTTTTTCCTTGGCACTACAGCCCCAGTGGGCCTAGGCCTACCTCCATGAACTTCTCCGTTCACTTCGGTTTTTCTAGATCTTACACATTCGGTAGGACTCCTTGGGCGGGTGATCAGCTCGTCGCAAGGCACAGTACACAAACACAGAAAAACGCACACACACAAACTAGACATTCATGCCCTGAATGGGATTCGAACCCACGATCCCGGTTTAAGCGAGCGCAAACAGTACATGCCTTAGACCGCTCGGCTACCGTGATCGGCACCCATTATCCACCGGCTAGGAGATGTTTCGGCTCCAGAATTGGTCCGGATGTCGTAAAGAAGAGAAGAATCTCTTGTCCCTGCCAAGAATCGAACCCAGGCCGTCCTACATTGTGATACTGACATGCTGGGAGAGGAACGGACACTAATGTTTCGCCATAGAAAATCTCTCACGTACTGTTATAAATGTGAACCCAGATCTCTGCGGTTGGAAGCCGATGCCTAACAACCATAGAGTGACACGGGCCGGAAACACTTCTGTCTAAAATAATTGCTATTTCCGGTCGTAAACATATCAGCCGCATCATTTCCGCGCGGTGAAGTCCCGCAAGATTCGTGGGAACAGAGCGCTATCCGCGGGAGATACCCCATGTCTCCGCAGTTGGTGGGTCCCAGTCGGCCGCGGGTGACGCTATCATGACTCGACTCCACTGGTCAACATTAGCAGAAACAACATAACTAGGTAGAATACAGCCCTTCCCCACCCGGCCAAAAAATGTTCAGCCTTTTATGGGAGTCCAGGATGACGCCATGTGGTCTGGTAAAAGTGTACCGACGTTAGGCTGTACGTTCTGACTACACGGCGTCACATCCCACATCAGTTATTGCTATGAGAACCACAAATGTCACAGGTTCATTATCGTGTCCGGAAAAGCCTTCCACTGGACCCCACGTGAGCCAGTTCAATCCACTCTATCTTTCACAACCTATACCTTCAGCACTGCCTCGGCAGCCCAACTCATCTGTTCCCTTCCGGCTTTGCGCCTAGAACTGTATGTGCATATCTACCTCGTGCGTGTTACATGTCCCTCCCATCTTATCCTCACTAACGTAATTTTTGGTGCGCAGCATAAATTATGGGGGTACGCGGTTGCATAGTTGGTTGAGGCACTATGCTACAAGCCGGAAGGTCGCGGGTTCGAATCCTGATGAGGTGGATTTTTCAATTGACCTAATTGACCAGAAGACAAGAAGTCTCACGCAGACATAAATTAGCAGGCTGCAGGAAATTCAATGTTTTGCTATTTCTACTGTAAGATATGTGACTTTAGGTAATTATATTGAAATTATTCCTAAATAAAAATAGAATTAAATTTCCTTGTATCAAAATCTAATGTATATTTCTATTTTGAAGTGCGGCCCTGGACAATTATTTATAGGGCTGAGGTGGCCCTCTGTACAAGTTCAGTTTGACATGGCTGGTCTAGATAATGTGGGAGCCTCAACCTCTCACGCCCCTATGGGCCTTCACGGCCTGGTACAGGGATAGCTTTACCTCTGCAGAGCAAATTGTGCAGTCCGTGCGTATGAATTTATTAACACATTCTTCCCACTTTCACTCTCACAGGTCGAAAAAATTCCTGTTCTCAAACACCCGTAGCTATGTTTTGCACTGAGGGCGAGGAACCAAGTTTCATCTATTTCCTGCGAGTTACTTTACTGCACTATCAGTAGCTAGCATGTACGTAGTCTAATGGTATGACTGTACATGACTCACGAATTTTAAACGATCCTGAAAAGAGGCGGTACTATTCTGACAGTAGACTGATGCGGCTGAGGAAAACCACGAAAAATGTGGTAGAGTAGCCAGTGTTCCAGCCAAGAATTGAACCGCTACGCCAACCCACTTCGGTACAAGGGCGGGCTACGGGCTGGATGACCGAGGTTCGACTCCCGGTAGAGGCAAGAATTTTTTCTCTACTTCACGGCGTCCAGACCGGCTGTGCGGCCCCCAGACTCATATCTTATGGGCACCGGCTCTTTTCCAACAGGTAAAGCGCCAGGGGCGTGAAGCTGACAATTCCCCTCCGTCTATTCCCGAGGTCAAGAACGGTAGAGTTACACCTCCAGTCCCTCATACGCCTTCATGGCAGGGACAGCTTTATCTTAACTTTACGCCAACCCGCTTGGTAGGCACCAAGTCAACACTAGTGTACACCTAGCGGTCCGTTGGCTGGGCCGGCGCACTGCGCCACTCAAGGAGAGGAATGCGCGTCTTCTCCCAGTTTCTCAGAAAAATAAATTTAATGGACAGCATTTCTCGCAGTCTCAAATACATGNATACTTTTCCTAAAACAATCGGTCTGAAACAAAATGTTTCGTAGTTCAGGTTATCACGGCGGTGATAGATTAGATCGTGGTGTAGTGGAGATGCAGGCAGCATGTTCCTCCGAAACGTCAGTGTCCGCCTATAAGAGTACTATGTCGACTCAGAAGGCCACAATCTGAATATATGAAGGTCGTTTGAGAGAGAGTTTATGAAGCAATGAACGGAACTCTCAAGGTTGGTTCTGTTAAGGTCAAGGTCTACAGAGGCATGAACTGCTCCATGGAGAGGACGGGTGGGCAAACGAGATTCCAGTGAGTGAAAAAAATAAGAAAAGGAGAAAAACAGAAAGGTAGGAGGGAGAGAAATGAACACAGAATGGAAGAGACGGGAAGACGAAGTGATGACTGGAGCGAGATAAAGATAGGAGAACTTCTGGAGGGGGGGGGGAAATCAATAGCCTACGTTCTCTTGATACGACACGGACCGCATAGAAAACTACGCCTGCGCGGGAACGTCTTTGCCGACTCGTTATCTAGCAACGGTAGGGGAGATACACTGTACTCCTTTGATAAGACTCGGGACTCATAGAAAATGACACATCCAACAATTCTTCCATTGTTGCCGTGTTTACCGAACCGTTTCCTAGCAATGAAAGGAGGGATACACATACAGACACACAGACTGACGGGAGGGATTTATGAAGTACGCCGCTGAGATAGGCTGAGGTGCCACGATATTCTCTTCATACATGTATATTATATCTGCAATAAATGCATATGTTCAATAAGTAGTGGCTCGTGAATGAGTTGTGCCCAGTGGCGTAACTCGTAAACTCCTTTTTTATTTTTGTTGGGGGTTTACTCAGCTCTCTCTGGTAGAGTTAGGACGGTGTAAGATTTCAGTCTATGTGTACTTTGGCTATTGTCTAGTTGGTTCACTGCTAGTGCGTTACTGTGGTTTTCTAACGTCTTAAGTATTTGGTAAAAAAGTTAAAGTTGTCCCTATGCTTAAATAATTAAACACTACGCCATGAAGGCGTATGGGGGAGTGGATATTTAAATCCATATTTTCTTGACCTCGGCACTAGTTGGATGTGAGTGGTCAGCTTCACGCCCCGGCCGCTTTACTCGAGAGAAGAGCTCCCATTACCCATTGGATAGGAGATTAGATGAACCCCAGAGCCGGTCTGGACGATATGGAGAAAATTCTTGACCCTACCGAGACTCGAACACCGATCCCTCGGTAGTCCAGCCCGTGGCCAGTCGCTATACCGACTGCGCTATCCCGGTTCATAAGTATTTGGTATTCAACTTTTTTATTTCACTGAACACTGCGTTCATTTGTAGATCTTCATGGGTCCTGTGGTTGTTTCTGTACAAAGGAGGTGCCATGATACAAATTTCAAGTTTCATGAAGATTGATTCAGGCATTCAAAAGCAGAAGGGAAGGAAACACAGACAGCATGGAGATCACATAAGACTACTTTTGGAAAGTCGGCTTAAAGAATGGATGCAAAGACATTATTTACCCAGAGATGGTTTCGTATCAGTACTTACAAATCAGTCAATAATTTACTGATGCAAATGCTTACGGAGGTAGATGTGCAGATAAGTGCGTTACGGAAGATGCTGAAACTGGTTTCGCTCTGCCTAGGGACAACGGCTCAGACTCCTGCGTTCTCTTCTGCTGTGCTGGCTGCAATATTCGCGAAAACGAAGCGTCGTGTCGGTCTTTTTCTCCAGGCGGGGGAACCCAGCATTTACAAGGTACAAAATGGCCAAGGTTCTTTGTAATCGGTAGATTATAGCGTGCTTTATAATTACTAATTCAGGGCCTCATCCCAGTGACTCACCCCCGTATTTTCCCATATAAACTTGATGCATCACACCACTAAGTTATTTTAAAATCAGTAATTCAGAATGGTTATCTCTTTTAAATATAAATTAATTTTTAGTCCGTGATAATAGTTGCTACAGCCTCTGGAGAGTGGACTGTTATTTAGGGGGAAATATGACCAATGTAGTTTTATTTAAGAATATGAATTCTACAAAATATTGAAATATAATCAGCATCATAAGATCATTTTGAGAAAAGTACCTTTCTGTGACCGAGCCCAGGCCGCGGGCCTGTTTTAATCCCATTATCTTTATGATGTTTTGGCCTACAAATTATTAACTGGATCCACTGCCTCCACAGACGATACAAATTTAATCGAAACAGGTAAAATCTCTTTCGAGAAAATTTACATTTCGTGTTTGGGCTGCTAGAAGATACCGTTATTTTTGTTGTCAATTGTCATAACGTGCGACAGATGGTGCTGCTTGTAATTACAGACAAATACAGTATGCGTCAAAATTACAGTACTGAAATGAAAAGACGTCCTGTTGATACCACTGTCTATTCATGTGATGGCCCCTTGCACGACAGAACCTTCTCAGATCCTGAAGAAATGGTCCGATCACCATGTCCCTGTAGCGTTCTTGGGTGACGGTAAGAGCATTGCCTTCCTCATCCTCAATGAAATAGGGGCCTAATGTACCGTGTGCTGAGACGGCACAACATACCGTCACACGTGTACTGTGTAGCGGTTTCTGGACGATAACATCTGGCCGCTCAAAACCAAGGAAGCGAGTTGTCTGGCGACCACTTCCGTATAAGCGGAAATAATACTCAACTATGAATACTTTTTCCTCTGTCGAGAGACCCATTTCCAACAACAACTGCACAACACAACTTCCTTTTCACTAATGGGAACACGTGCGGCTGGAGCTAAGCCCCGTCGACAAACGCACATGCGCGTTCGAGATGCCCGAGTTTCAGTACTGATTCTTTTGGCGCATACTGCGATTCAAATTTTAATTTTAAAAAGGTGTTCATATACATAGCGATTCCAAAACGTGCGGGTAAATTCTGGGGATGAGCTCCAAGTACCATAACCAGAAAACGAGTTGATACGAACTTCGATCCTCAAGTGTTTCCTCTCCGAGTTGCAGCGCTGAAAGGAAGAATTTCCAAGCAGTGCTCAAAATGCTCTACGCGAGACTTAACACATGACTGGGCATGTCTTATTATGGATTGTTAAACCCGTTCAAAGATCCTGGGATAGTTACGGAGAGACTGTCAGCCTTTCACAGTGCGTTGGCAATGTGTATCCACCTTGTTAACACGACATGAATACACAAGGGTTTTCAAGTGCCCTCATGGGCAGAAATCTAGAAGATTCAAATCAGGCGAGCTTGAAGGCCACATAGTGGGACCTCGTTCATTAATCCAGCGGTTACGATAGGGTCTGTTGAGGGTGCCTAGCACAACACGGCTAAAATATGCCGGAGCACAATCACGCATGTGCCACATTCGTGTTCTGACTGCCAGTGGTACGTCTTCTAGCACATCGGGCAAAATATTGTTACAATATTTTATTTTTACGGTGAGGAGTGTTTAGCCCCACGCCCAACCCCCAAGCTAGAGGAACGCGGCTGCATATTCAATATATTCGCAGCTTCCCTACACATCTGAAGGCCGTCTCCTCTATCCGCAACCTGAGGACGCGACATGCCGTGGTGACAAGGACCCACCTAACATGGCACCTGAAAACAAAGCATGAGCAAAATGCAGACTTTTCTAATCCTATAGCAGGAGGTGCATATAGATACCATGTGCCTCAAAGGGTTGACATAGCGGTATTCTTATCCAGAAAAATATCCGGTACTGATTATGATTAAAATGTACTGGAAGGACCCCTCGCCGAATGATTAGGATGATCAAATCAACGGCCGTGAGATCGGCGGGTCATGTAGCAAGCACGGGATAGAAAAAGAAATACGTATAAAACTCTGGCAAGAAATCTTGCAAAGAAAATACCGCTAAAATACCAAAAATATATAAATATATTAAAAAATGACTTCGAAGAAATAGAACGGACTGGATTCATCTGGCACAGGATAGGGATTAGCGACGGGCTGTTGTGAATACGGCAATGAACTTTCGGATTCTGTAAAATGGTGGGAATTTCCTGACTAGCCGAAGAGTTGCTTTAATAGGGCATTGCTCGAGAGAGTTAATTGCGTGTTCAGCAGGTTCTATGGAATATCAATCAAAATTTTGATAGTGCAAACTCATGATTTCAATCAGTGCACGTGATGTTACAGAGGATACATCTGTTGATGAAAATTGTGTAGAGGGTGAAGAACAGAGCCTGCCTGAGTCATCGCCTCTCCCGCAATAAATAGGACATATCTCCGTACTGCCAACATTTGACACCGTGGAGGCCATGAAATTGGTTCTGCTGCTCCTCCTGTGCGCAGCTGCGCGCGCATCTGCAAATTGCATCGCCTCTATCACGACGGCGAGTGGCCACAAGGCGCCATCACGGATCTGCAGCGGAGATCTGATATTTAATGAAGAGTTCAACAGTTTCGATTTCCAGACATGGAACCACGAGAAAACCGCAACAGGAGGTGGCGTGAGTATCTGTGAAACTTGAGTTAACATGTTCTAGAACAAGGTACATTTACGCCTTTAACAGGGCTGATTTTCATCATTCATTTTTTGTTAAAAAAGAAAAAAAAACTACCTTTGTCCTACTTAAGCAAAATTAAAACTCCATGTTTCCATTAATTGTATTTTTACAATTATGTACATTTTAGTATTATATTAACCATTAACGGAATTTCTTAAAAACGTAAACGTTCTAAAATTTCTTCATTTGCCTTCTTCTACACATACAAAAAGGCGAGGGGAAAGCTCAGAAATCACGTAATTTCGGATTGCCATAGCAACGGACTGTTGAGCGTTACACGTTCCACGAACGCCACTTATATGTAAGCCAAGCCAGAGAGAAGTCACATTTATTTTTTTTTTATTTAACAATATATAGTTAACAATGACAATAATTCTTACAGCACAACATGAAAATGGAGGTGATTAACATAAAATAACATACATTTAATTGTTTATTGAATTTTACGTGCCGTTGATGTATACAGTAGTGTTAGATTTGCTTGTTGAGTATAATTCGTCCCTCTTCAATCTTTCCAAGTATGTGTTTGTGCAGCCAGTAGCTCTCGAACGTCGCGACGCCATCTTGCCATATGCTGTAGTGCATTTCTAGATTCAGTCGGAATTGCAGCCTTATGCGGTATATGCGTTGGTAGTCTGGTGGTCTTCGTTGCTAGGTATGTCTTGTATATAGTGGTCTTGGCTAGGACTATTAAGTAATTGGCAAGTTGTTGGGGTGTGGTATCTACTTTGGGGTATCCATATAATGTTTGCTTCTTTTGCAATGGGTGGGGGCCCAGCAGGTCATGGAGCGTCTTGCTTAGACGGCCCCAGAAGGCTGTGACTGGGGCAGTCCACAGGGAAGTCACATTTATTTATTGCAGTGCATTCTGGGAATATTTTGATATGCGTATGTGATATGTGGGGGCCGGGATAGCTCAGTCGGTATAGCGACTGGCTACATGCTGTGCTACCGAGGGGTCGGAGTTCGAGTCCCGGCAGGGGCAAGAGATTTTTCTTCTCTTCCTGTCGTCCAGACCGGTTCTGGGGCACGCCCAGCCTCTTATCCAGTGGGTACCGGGGGCACTTCCCCGTGAGTTAAACGACTGGGGTGTGAAGCTGACCACTTGACTCCCAACTATTGCTGTGATCAAGGTAAAGTTGTCCCTGTGCTTAACTAATTAAGCACTATGCCATGCAGTCCAATGGGAAATGAATGTACAGATCCATATTTTCTTGACTTCGGCTCTAGTTGGAGGTGAGTAGTTAGCTTCACGCCCCTGCCGCTTTAACCCCAAGGAAAGAAACCCCCGGTGCCCACTGGATAGGAGGTTGGGTGGGCCCCACAGCCAGATTGGACGACGTGGAGAAGAGAAAATTCTTGACTCTACCCGCCCTCGAACTCCGACCACCCTGTCGTCCAGCCCGTAGCCAGTCGCTATACCGGCTACGCTATCCCGACTCAAGGATATGTGGATATATACATCCACTCCCCCATACGTCTTCATGGCGTAGTGCTTAATTAGTTAAAGATAGAGACAACTTTATCATTCTAGTGTCGTATACTATATAAAGCAGAGTGTTTACTATATATATGCGTGTCATTGGTGGGAGACGGTTCGAAATGTGTAAGACTGGGAGATCAGTTAAGAAGTTAATGCATGAAATCCTACGTACAAATGTTGAGACGTCATGTAGAAATCTCAATGGATGTTGAGAGTGAGTAAACTTACTTAAAAAGAGTTCAGAATTTCTTTGAACGGAAATAATTAAAAACAGAATAAGCTTCCAAGAATGCAGGAAAGGTTTAATGTAACGTCCCACATAACTGACGATCAGTTCCCGCCATTGGACCGCGTCTCACAGGTTGAGACACACTGTTTATTACCCCTTTTTTAATTCAACCTTGTCTACATACAATCTTCGCCAATAATGCAACTATTTATTGCTTCTTTCACATTTGTTTTCGCTATTAACACATGTTTCGGCCTCAAACGGCCATCCTCAGGTGTCCCATTATGCCAAAACTGCTACACTGCACTGAGTATTGTCCATTCCACACGCGCGTAACTGACCATTTCGCAATTAAAATGGTAACAATTGCACGCAACTGTTATGCATTATAATCTCACATGTTACAGTTCACTCCATTTAAAATCAATTAAAACTGTTAACATTTTAATATATAAAATTCTAATTCCACCTCACACACGGCGTCGTCCACTTGTCTAAGCAATATATACTACTTCGTCCGTTATACTGCAGAGGCTCCCCCTGACCATATGCAACCCCGTTGTTATGTTTTGTCTGCAATTTTGCCCTTTGCTTGTCCGTTGTTCCCACAAGCCGCGTGTGGTGTTGTCTTCTCGTGTGCAGACGTTTTAAGGTGAAAAGTTAGCAAATTTACGCATAGCCCAACTTAATTTTCTTTAATTATTTCAATATTTTAAATGTTTTAAATGTTAATCAAGCAACGATTGTAACGGAACTATTATATTTTAATTAAACTGAGAGCCGGGATTGCTTGTTTCGAGGTCGTTGCCTAGCAACGGGTCTGTAGGCCATAATATTATAATTAGTAGTAGTAGTATCATCATCACCGGGCTTCGAAAATATTCTTTATGTTCAACTAATCATATGGCATGCTCATTACCATTAATTCATCGTACACAGAAAATCTGTCTCCATATTGGGGTTTCGACTTTGAGCATTTTAAACTTTCATAATTTAAACGAAACCAAGAAATACACTTTCAAAAGAACCCAGTCTGTTGCTTGCCTTCCCAAGCCGGAAGAATGTCTATTAAGGCCATCCTTACGCGTTCAATTTTTTACACAGTCGTAAGTGCGCAGTGACATTTCCTGACGCGAAGAAAAGCTCTACCAGTTTTCGCTCAGTTCCCTATGGACACTGCCGGCCACTCACTAGCGTTGAATATTGTGTTATGACGCCCACTGAGGAAATTATAGGTTACGTCACTGTAGCTGCAGATGTGGGATAAAAAAAAAGAAATCCGAATTGGTAAGTTTTTTT